ATAATAGAATAAGTATTTTAGTACTTAAAATTTATAAATTTGTACATGATATTTATCCTAAAAATTTTATAAATTATTAATTAATATTTTAATGTATATTAAATAACAAAGTATTTATTATTTACAAAAATGAAAATATTGTTTACAAAATATTTGAGAATATAATATAAATTGAATCTATAAATCCATTAATCTACATTTATATAAAAAATTGACCTTATATTTTAGAAAATTTAAAGAAATAAAAGTATTAATAATGGAATAATTATTTTAGTAATTAAAAGTTATTAATGTACATATGATATGTATCTTCAAAGCTTTAATAGATTTGATATTTGTTAAGTTAAGATTATATATTTTTGTAAATTATTAATTGATATTAAAATATACATTTTACAATAACATATTTATTGTTTAGAAAAATAAAATATTTTTTACCAAACATTTGAGAATTAATTTTTTTAGTTGATCTTTTTGTTAATGTTAAAGATTGAAAATAATAAAATATAAAATAATTAATATAATAATTCAAATATAATAGTTGCATATGTTTTTTTTTGCTTTGGAATTTAGTAAAAAAAATAAAATAATTAGAGGTGTAAAGTGGGTCGTGCTGGCCCGTTGGCCATCACGGGTCATGCTGCCCTCCTTAGTGAAAAGTTTGAGGGTTGGCCCAACACATCCCACGATCCAAGCCCATGCGGGCCCGTGTTGTGCCATGCTGTGTTGGGCTACAGGCCAAGCTGTGGGCTTGGGCTGTGTGGCCCGTGCCAAGCTGGGCCACAGGGTGGGCCGAATTGGGCTGACTGGTTTTTTGTTTTTTTTTTTGAAAATTTTGATTTCTTTTCTAAGTAAAAGTGTAAAACTAAAATATTTGAAACTTTTGAGCTTTAGGAACTATTTGAAGGATTAAGAAATGAAAAATCTACGAAAAAAATACTTAACCAAATAAGAATGATGGAATAACAAATTGGAAGAAAAATAGGAATTTTATTTCATTTAAATTTGAATGATACAAATTACAAAGCATACAATGGTTGGATACTTGGATGAATGAAAAATGAAAATGGAATAAATTAATAAAATATAAAAGTACAATATAGTTACAAATTGGAAATACAAAATTACATTGTTAAAAAAATAGCAAATAAATTCAATATAAAACAAAATTTACAATAATTTGAAAAAAATAAAAAATTCTATACAACTAGTCAACTATTGTTCATGAGTCATGACTTTCATCATCTGCTTCAGGTGAAATATCGGGTGTAGTGTCATGCCCTCATTTGTCTTGTAATCTATCTTCAGCATCCAGCCAATCTTTAGAGCAGATGCACATCTCTATACCATAGTTTTCAAGGTGCCAAGGCGAGGCTGGGCGTCAGGGGGGTGCCTTGTCGCCTAGGCGATGAACTTTTTAATATAGAAAATATAGATCCTAGGGTAGTTCCTTAGGTACCATAGCCATATTTCCTTATTAATTTTTCATATTTTTCATAATAAAAGTATAGAGTTCATGTTAAAGTAGAGAAAATCAACATATTCATGTGAAGAAAAAAAATAAGGAAATGAAAATTCAAAAAATATAGGGTCTGAACCCTTATTTTTGTTATAGGAAAAGAAGAAAAGAAAAAGTAGTAGTATAGTAGTAGTTGTAGTAGTAATAGT